ATATATATATATATCTATATATAATACATACTATTTATTTTCTTATTGTGATGATACAACTGTCTAGGAATATCATACAATTCTTTACCAGTACAATAAATACTGTAATCTGATATTAAGATTAAATTAATAGGTTCTGGAGTATATTTCACTAAAAAATTTTATTTTATTAGTAGAATATAAAAATCAAAATAATTAATTTAAAAATTATAAGTAGTTACACTTAGTTGATGGAAGAGTTGTTACTATAGCTGCTGTTATGGACCCATCTCCAAATTCATTTCTAGCAGCAACTGTTATAGAATAGTTTTTATGAGGTTCTAAATTCCGAAACATGTAAACATTTTCAATTTTGTTTTCTTTTTCTGTTAAAATTTCCTGGATATTTCATTCAATAAAATTTTTTTTAAAATATATATAAGAAAATTTAAATGTTTTGTTAAATCATGATAAAAGCATACATTATAGTAAAAAAGTTAAATGAATAAAAGGAAACTACAAGTATGGAGGAAGAAGGATTAGTAGATAAAACTAGATTAGTGAAAATATACTTAATAACTATATTTTATAGAATTAATATGAATTTGTTTGAGAAAAAAATGAATCATTAATATCATTACATCACTTAAATAGTTTTTAATAAATGAATGAAATATGTTATGTTGATAAAAATTAACATAATATTAATTAAAAAATATTTATTACTTAATTAAAATTGAAAATTGGACATTAAAAGTGTTTTTAATTTACAAAGATATTTAAAATAAGAAAAATAGAACAAAAAAATGTATTGTTCCAATTTTAAAAATGCAGAACTTATTAATAAAACTATTTTTACTTGATTCTTATAACAAGTATTATACCTGGTAATTTAAATAAATATACTTCTTTACTGATTTCAGTACAGTAAATTATGTGTTAAAAAATAACCTTAGGAGATAACATTAAAATTAAGCTTTTTTATGTCCATGCACATACTGCAATTATAAAATAATGTAACAAAATTATAAATCTATTCTGTTTTAATGAAATGGATTTGATCAACACAAATGAACATAAACTAATAAGTGTAAAATCTGCATGCAATATCAAGTGCTGTAAATAACTTGTTGTAATGTAATGTATTCTGACCTTGAATGCATAGTACCCTTTTGAAAATTCTTGGATAGTTAAATGATAGGATAGGATTGGGGCTAAAGGAAATGGTATAGCTGCCCATGTGATGGATATACTAGAATCTGTAGGAGTTATTCTCACAATTTTTGGTGCTGAAGAAGGTGGAACTTTACTGGGTCTCGTACTTATGACAACACTTGGATCAGAAACTATAAGCTGCAACGTTCCAGACCATTCCAATAGTAAGACTACTCGGAACTATGTAAAGTAAGTACATGTTTAACATAAAACACATAAATATTTCAATGTAACTCTATAACAATTAGCAATTACCCTATAATTAGTAAAAGGTAACAAATCTTCCAATTTTACAATAAAATTATTAATCCAATCTTGCTTTTGACAATATTGCCAAAAGCTTGAATTATACTCAAGCTTCCATTGAATTTTATATAGAAAGTCATTTCTCTTCACACCTTTCCATTGTAATTTTAAAGATGTATCCATTAAACTATTGGGTACTAAAGTTGGTGGTGGTAGTATACCAACTTCATCTATAACAAAAAATAAGTCAAATAATTGTTTAGATTTACAGCTACTAATGTTTTTCAGAATCAGTGTTCTACACAGGGCTATAATACTGGCATGATTACAGAAAGGATATGGGTGCCATATTCCTCACGACCAAAATAAATAAATGATATAAATACAATTTTTTTCACTCGGTAGTGAAAAATTATCTTATGTATGTATATTGCACCTGGCGGAATTCCTTAACAATTACACCACTGGGCTATAGTTCTCCTCCATTGGCAATGGTATATATTAGTATTATTATGAACAGCATGGTACTTTGGCATATTAAGCATAAAATAAAACAAAAAAAAAAAACATTTTTAGCCCTCCCTAATTAAAAATCTTGCGTATTTCACTGATCAAAATTATATATTTTGTATATTTAAAATATTATTACTTTGTATCCTTTGAAAATATAAGCTAATAGCATCATTACAACCAGCTGTACAATAATGTTGACCATATGTAAAATTATATCTTTCATCAAAATCAGTCTAGAAGTATAAAATAATTAGACAATTTTTTTTATAAAAAATTCATACCAAAAAAGATCACATACACAAACACTTATACAATTTCTTTTAAGTGCTTTATTCCATAATGAGCATCCTTTGAAACACTAAAACAAATTAAAAAGGAACATTATGAAAAAATATATCAATTAATCAAATAATTGATTATATAAGTTTTTTAGTGTTTTTTAGCAACACTTTTTAATAAAATTCATTTTAACATAAAACAACATTGTAACTGTTAACTACTTCCAAAATGAGAATATCTGTTAACCTATTTAGCTACTATAGATAGATTTGCATGAACAAGATCCGTACTTAGAGCGTAGCTCGGAGGAAAAATAGCCTCTCCAGAAATTCTTATGGGCGAATCTCAATAGTGAAGAACAAAACCAATGATTAACATACAATAAAAAAAATATTTTATTTTAATATTAGTAGTTACAGAGATATATGACAGAGTTTTGACGCCTCAGGTAAAGTTTTATTGTCGTCCCTACATACCCCCCTATATTATGTATTGAGGTTACGAAAAAATGTTGCAAAACCCAAGGCGACAGTACCCACTACCCCCTAAATACATCTTTGGGATGTGTTATATGATACTTTATGTTCATAATTTTTATTTTAATATTATCATCATATATAAGATTTCCAATGAAAGCTTATAATGACGGGGAAACAAATGTTAACTATTAGCTTCGATGCGAAGCTGAAAAGGTATTAATTTTACTATGATATGTTTTTAGCTTCGATGCAAAGCTGTGAGTTTTACTAAGATGTGTCTATTTTATTTTTTTATTTTTTTATTTTTTAATTTTTTTTGTGTCTGTTACCACTTTTTCTCAGCTCTCACTGAACCAATTTTGATGAAAAATATGTCAAAAGATCACAAATCGTATCTAGTTGAAGACATGATCCCTCAAAATTTGATAAAAATTTTCTCATTCCCTGTAACAGAAGAAATCCCCCAAAAAATTACAAATTAAAAAAACGCTAATTTTTGACATTTTTTCAATTGTAGCTTCGATCCGAATTTTATACTAAAACGTTAGATATCTACCTTTCATTTGATATCTTTTTTTTTGAAAATCTATCACGTAACTTTTTTACCAAAATTAACTTTTTCAACTTAATTTTTGAAAATTTTCCGGAAATACTGCATCCTTCAAACATATATCAAATTATAGCTTATTTTATGTACTATAAAATGAAAAAAAAAAATTTGTCCTGACATCTTATCTTCTATGTGCAAATGGCTGTCGAAAATTAAAAAAAAATGTAATGTTTGCGATAAAAATTACCATATTAAAAATATGCTATTATAACAAATTTTTTTTTTTAATTAAACACTATCTACAGATTTGCATCGAAGCGTTTCTAATGATAGTGATTTTAATCACTGTCAGATATCATCTATACTTATCCCATCTATGCCTCGTCCACACTGTGCCGCGACCCCACTGTGCTACCGTTTTTTTATTTTATTTTTTTTGTTATCACTTTTTATCAGCTCTTGTTCAATCGATTTCTTTCAACGATATGTCAAAAGATCACAAATCGTATCTAGTCGAAGACATTACGCTCAGTAATTGAAAAATTTCCCTCGTTTCCCGTAAATGGGGGAAATCTCCAAAAAAATTACAAATAAAATTAAAAATCGCTAATGATTAAAAATATAAATGAAATATGCCATTTTCCTTATTTTTAACATAATAATAAAAATCAGTATTAATTAAAACACAATTTTATTTTGTTCTTAATTATTTTTTTAAATGTAATTACTTATTTTTTAATAATAAGTAATAATATTAAAACTTAGAAATGATAGAAAAAGTCTAATGGCACATTTGAAAACATCATAAAAAGTTGATTTAGAAAAGTATAATTATGTTTTTGATGAAAGTTCCTTGTAGTCCATTATATAAAACTTATAACTTTGTTATAATGTTAAATACACAAATATTTGTTATTGAAAAGTATTGCATCAATCCCTTTAAATTTTTATATGCGTTAAAAGTAAAGAAATATACAACTACTTTATTATTTTTATAATATCTTTGTAAAAATTACAATATTAAATTATTAAATATTAATTTCATACTAAATTTTATTATTATAATTATAAATCAAATAACTAATCGGGATAAAATTAAGGGAATAAAAGTTATTGTTGCTTTTGAAATAATCTAACAATTTCTTAAAATTAAACACTATCTACAGATTTGCACCGAAGCGTTTCTTATGATAGTGATTTTAATCATTGTCAAATATCATCTATACTTGTCCCAAATATGCCATGTCCATACTTTGCCCCGACCCCACTGTGCTACTTTTTTTTTTTTTGCTCTTTAATATTATTTAAAGGGCGATTTTGAAAATTTTTGAGGACGCCAAAAATTATGTATTAACCCCACGCCTAAATCTTAATTGTATGAAAAATAGGAAGAAATCTAGATCTGTGTCTATAAATAAATATTATTAGACATATAAATTTATTTATATGTCTATTAAATTTATAACAGATAACGGATCCTTAATATAAAAAGACCGGCATAATTGTTCTTCTTTTATCTGTCCTTCCAACATCGAATAAACAAATCTACGAATTAAATCCAAATCGGATACTAGAAATTAAAATACAATCACAAACTTAGTTTTTAGTTAATTATTTATTTATTATTTAGTTTATTTTATCAAATAAGAATTTAACAAGTCAATATTTAAATATTAAATAAAATAAATTTCTTTTACTTAATAAGAAATAATTCTTAAAGGAATATTTTTATAACAACAAAGGAGTATGTAGTATGTGCAGTATAGTTATGTAGTTTAATTATTTTGATTATGATTTATAATACTGACTTGTTTATAATAAGTTAAGTAGAGTATTAGTATTTAAGTATGAGTAATCCGAATTTATCGGAGAGTATTATAGTCCACTGCCGAGGGAAACTATGTATATTAAGTTTAAAAATAATGTGCATTATAGAATACTTTATAAAAATTCTGTGTCATTATTGAACTTACTTTTTACATTTATTTTTGAGTCTTTTGTAATAATAGTTTTCATGTAAGATAGAGTATAGCAGTTTATTAAAGCGACTACAATGTTTAAAAATTTAAAACAAAAAATTTATTTAAGATATAAGGAACTATAAATATAATCGATAATCTTTATTATAATTAGTCTTATTTGAATAAACTGTTTTGAAGTTTGTAAAAAAAAAAAAAAAAAAGAGTTCTTTCTCTACATAAAATGCAAAGTTGATAAGATAACTTTTACAAAAAAAAAAAAACCTAGTTTGTATATTTATCGTATAATTTTTTAATATAAATTTATTTTTATTTTATAATTGATTCTAAGACTATCACTAATAATCTTATGATTAATGACGGGCTTAAAGTATCAGTGCGCCTAGGCAGTTACCAAATCAGTATCCCTCTTTAGCTGTATATTTATAAAATTTACTATAACGAAGGGTCAGTTTAAATTTTAGAACTTTACATTCAGAGAGTTCTAAGGAGCTTCACCTGTCCACTTTCCCTAGCTACCATAACTTTATGTTAATGGGAGGCTTCAGATTGCGCGACTCTCTCGTGTATATGTCATTGTTCCCCTTTGGTATTATATTAATTCATCGATACTCACACGGGATGGCCCCAGCTTATTATTTTTTATAAATTTATTAATGTTCTAAAATAATATATGTTATGAATATATGTTTGTAAATTTCTATAGTTCAAATAATAGATTTATTTATAATATATTATCAGTTTCTTGTGATCTTGGTTCGTTTTTTACTAGCTAGAATGTTATAATATTATAGACGTAAGTTTTAGGAAATAATTTACTCCGTGCGAGTAACTGGCCTTGGTATTTTACTAGTACTTTTTTAATTTTAAAATTGATGAAATTGATAAAAGTCGTATAAAAATCTTGGCGAGTTCAGGGATGAAGTAATTTAGAGGGTGTGCAGATAATAAAGATGCAGAAAGATAATCTATTTCATTAAAAAGGATCAAACTAGATGGTTTCATAGTTCCAATCCACCAAACCAAAAACCCGAGTTGCACCAGTAAATATTATAAACGAATAACACAAAGTTAGAGAAGTAATTTGCCAAAAGTGCAAAAACTATTTTAGACACAAGGAGTTTATTTTTTCCAATGAAAATCTATAAACATTTATGTCGATTTCAATACCTGGAAAAGAGAAAGACACTAGACCTACAAATTTGATTAAAATAAAATGAATTTTTAGAATAATGTTTACAATAGGTATATAATATTACTATGTACAAGAAACAATGCAATATATAAGGGCAAAAAATCAATTTTCTTTTTATAAAAAAACTCAAGATCTTAATTTTTGTAAAACCTATTGCAAATTAATTTGATAAAAATATCTAAAGTAAATCATTTATTTTTCTTCCAAATTCTAAAGACTCTATACCATAGATATTGCTAAGAACTTTATGATCCTCACTAGATTTGTCTAGATTTTTTCCACTGTTAGTCGGGGGTAAAATAGGCCATCGGTTGGGTTTCTGCCTGTCGTAAAAAGCGACTAAAAGAGAGGGACTTGTAGGGAAGCAGCAGCCTCTACAATACTGTGTGTAGGTGCAGGTAACCATAGAGTTATGGTAGAAACAGCTACACAGCGGATTAAAGTCGGCAGATGTTAATTAGAAATACTAGGTTTATGTGAAACAAGATGGCCAAACAGCAGAGACTTCTGGACAGCAAACCATAGAATAATTCATTCCCAAGGAAAAAACGGACAATGCGGAATTGACGTAGTGCTTCATAAAACCTGGGGAATAAAGGTTACAAATTATATCATATACAGCGAAAGAATTATTATGATACAACTGGAAGCAGAACCACTTTGTAATACAAATATAAATGCCTACGTCAAGAGCCGATGACGAAGAAATTGAAGAAGTATATGTTGGAATAGAAGAACTACTAAAACACACTAAAGGAAAAGATAACGTTATTATAATGGGAGACTGGAATGCTGTTGTAGGTGAAGGAAAAGACGGTAAAGAAGTGGGAAAATATGGTCTAGGTCAAAGAAACGCAAGAGGAGATCGATTAGTGA